TTTTTAAGTTACTTTTAACTGATTATCAGTAATAGAATTTATTCCCTCGGGTACGGACTTAATTTCAATTAAACTTTAATTCGAGAAACAGACAAAATACACCGAAGGGAAAAAGAATTATTTATTGATTAAGCGGCTGCGATATCAGCAGAGGAAGTTAATGCAACTAACACCGGTTATGTTTGTTTTACTTACTTCTCTTTCCTTACTGAAATTTATTTTTCTTTCCATTTTAATTAAAAAATAAATTACAACATAACAAAATCAAAAGGTATTTGAAAAATTGTACAATATTGTTTGAGCATATCTGTCACTTTCAACGTTCAATTTAAAAATAATGAAACCCGAAATTGAAACAGTTTCAAAAGATGAAATAATTATTTTATAAATAATTTTATATTCTATTATTTATTTATGAAACAAAGTTCATTCTAATGTAAATAATATATGACGCCAATTTTTTATATTAACAGGATTCCTATTTGTTTTACTAAACTGCAAAGTAGATGCCTATATTACACACTGTTGAATATTATAATACAATTTCTATGGAAATACATTTTCAGATTCACAATATGATGGTATAATTCCGTTGAATCCAATCACATCTATTGTTTTCAACTGTTTTCAAATTCCACGAATTTATTTTTTCTAATACAACTTGGTTAAATTATTATTAATATATCTACCTAATACCTAAAGCAAAACCAAAAATTTGCTAAAATTTAAAACACATTGAACACTAGTTACCAAATGGATTTTTGGCATTATTACATAAAATGTAAAAATATGGGATACTAAAAGTTTATTGAATAAAAGGTTTACTCTACTAATAATATCGTTTAAGTTTAAACCACTACTTTGTAAAGCGCTAATACACATTTAAACTTTTTTGAAACTACCTACATCTATTTTTATTTCTTTAATAATCCCGTAACATTTAATGTGTAGAAAGAATTTAACTTGTATATTTTGTTTTTATTTTTTTTCTGACATGAATGGATTTAGAATGTTTCCAATTTTGTGTATCAAAGGATGTATAGAAAATTTGACATGTAATACTTACCTTTGATTGATAAATCAATCTAACAGCAACTTACCTTAAACAGTTAAACAAAATATTTTAGTTATAAATTTAAACACTATAGGACAGATTTGAAATTAGAAATTTCTGAAATGAGGATCTAAAATGAGAATTCATGCATCTAAGTAAGAGACTGAGGAAGATTCTAAAAAAGATCAGTCCTCTAATAACTTACTTAATGTGTAAAGGCGACGTTTCTGAAACAAATAATTACATCATCATTACACTAATCTAATTTTAGTAACTGTATAAGTTAATACAAAAAGTTAATTATTAAAACGCAAAGACAAAAGAAATTTCAGTAGCCTGAAGGGGAAGTTGTCAGTTTCTTTTTATAAAACGGTAACGTAAAAAAGTTGAATATTTTCCATAGTCGCGAAAAAATCTCTTACAGTGCTTATTGGATTTGTAAGTTATCCTTTGTGCATCAGTGGATCCTCATTTTACAAAGACGTTAAGAGTTTTTCAGTCGGCCACTGAATATGTTTTATAATTGAATCTGCACATGACGTGACGCCGTTAAAAATAAATATTAAATATTATAAATATTGTCCAGTGAAAGACTATGTTTGTAGATAAATGAGACATACGCACATGAGTAATGAATAGAATCCATCGATCTTTGCCAGTCAACCCCAGTAAAAATAGTGTAGTGAGCCGTTATCTTTTTCCTTGAACTTTCGCCTGATTCACTATTTTAAGAAAACTCGCACATTGGAATAACCTTAATTACCAACATACCAATCTGTCGGACGTTAGACACAATAGCTTTAAATACTATGTTGGAACAACAATAAGTTAACTCAATTTAATCTTGTTACGCTAGTTATTAAAGAGGTAATCACTGCACTTGTATAAAACCTGGGAGCGGAATTAGGAGATTATAAAACGGAAGTTGCTTGTACCACAAAACTTTGGTGCCAAGCCACTTTTAAATTTATACAGCAATTAAATGTTTCTAAATCCCTTAAAAAGCTCCTAACGAGGCTTCAATCGATGGTAGGCGCGAAACACAGCAAAATGGAACAGACAGATTTTATCTATATAGAACGGCCCTGATAAACCAATTATGTAAATCCATGATGGGTCAAGGTCTCAGGATGCAATTTGACATAAAAGGAATATATCCATTTTATGACTGTTCTCCGGTTAAAAAGTGTTTCGAAAAATGGGGTATGAGCCGAAATGTGATTTATCGCAGATAAATTTATCGAAATTTATTATTTATGTCGGGTAAAGTAGCTGAGTGCGTTTTTATCAATTGACAAAGTTTTTCGGCCGCATATTACTTATTTTGTCAAATTGAAGAACGATTTAGTAGCGTTCTGTTGTTAAATAATGTGGTCTGGAGTGTCCTCAACAGACTCGCGTCCAATTTCATAAACTGAAAATATATGCAACCACAGTGCCATCACAGCAAAAAGTCCTCTGTAAGCTGACCCAAATCTACAAATACAGCGTTTATTTTTACTGGCCTACCTGACAACAGAATTTTTAAATTTTTGTAAAATTACAAAAACTAGGTATAATATGAGAAAAAGTGTTTTAACCAAAACATGCGGTAGAAACAAAACGGTGACGTAAAAAGAAGAAATTGCGAAAAATGCGATGAGTGTTTACAAAAGCAGTTAGTAATATCAGTATTTCTAGAGCTAGGCTAACTACAAATACAAAAATTGAAAACATATCGGAATATATGAATAAAAACGATGCAAAAACTTTCGAATATTTATAAAAATTGAAATGAAATAAACATGCGCATTGCGCATACCGTCTAACGCTCCTTCTCAATATCGATTCTTTCTTTTGCTACATCCTGGGTCCATCCATAAGTGCTTGCCTGCATCAATAGTATCTTTTTAATATACATCATTATAAAAAATACGCCAAGAAATTTTTAATCATTTTTGTGTACCTTTTATTTAAATTTTATTCCTCGACTGATATAAGTTTAGATTCAAATTTAAACCAAACATTGAAAAAAACTAAATTGATATGTAAAGTCAAGATCTGTCTTCACAGAAGAAAGATTAGTTTTAATTTCTAATTAGAACATTGAAATTGACCACTTGTATTATTTTTTAATTCGATTAATCTTGAAAGGATCTTTAATCTTTCTAATATGGTGTCGTGTTTGCGGCAGTGATTATTGGCCAAATTAATAAACTTTATGAGCTATAAATTTAATGCGACATAATAAAAGTCCAATAAATTAGGCCATATATTTAGCCAAACAAAATTCAAAAGGTCGGAAGGTTTACAAAATAATCGGAGTTTTTCATCCCTTTCACAAACTCTTACGTCATCGGGGATTATAGATTTGTGACGGGGAAATATATTGTTTTCATGAGAAAGTCTGAAAAAACACAAATACTTCCTGAAAAAAATACTGATAGAACTGGATTATAATCTGATTTGCAGCTGCAAAACTGATGTCGTTTCCCGTGCAGTAAAATGTTTACAATTGCTAATTTTTTATAGCTCGTTATTAAATTATCTATACAATTGACCGTAAAAGCTAGCACATGTAGCTGCAACGCTGCACTGTTTATGTTTTTCTAGAGATTATAATTGATTTTCAACGCTTATACGAGTGGCTCTTGCACTGCATTTTCAACCAAAATTTAATTTGTGGAAAGGATAAGTTTGAAACGTCGCTCAATGTAGATAACATTCTGGGATAATAGAAATTTATCATAAAGCCATAAAAAATATTTGCAGCAAAACATAAAATCCTTTTTTAATTAACACGAGCATAAACTCGAGTGCTCCGGTATTGTATGTAAGATATCCTTAGAGAGAGTTCTGTGATAAGTAAGATACTTAATTTGCGCAAAAATAGCAATTATATTAAAACGTGTTGTAAATAACTAATTTATTAATGTTAATTTTAGAAAAAATAACTTATTTTATTTTTTCTCTAGTGCACATAAACATAATCGCATATTTGCATAATAATTCAAGAGTTAAGTGGACCTTTCCATTGGAGTGAATTTATGTCAAGCGCATACTTTTATAATCAAAAAGCAATTTGTTAATAATTGGGTTACTTAGTTATAAGTGTGTATTTTTAATCCAAACCATTCTTCGTCCAGAAAAATTTTTGGAAATAGTTTTAACGCCAAATTTATAACAATTGTTATTGAATATATAGAATAGTTTATTATCAGCTACAATTATTTTAGGATTAATGAATAAACTAATTACGAGTAGTAAAAAATATACTCCTAGTGTTCGTAATAAATTACCTACACTTCAATTATCAATACATTGTAAAATAACCGTTAGAAAAAAAATCGTAGTGCAAAATTTAGTAATGATTTAGAATGTTCACATGTGAAGTCATGTCACTCACATGTGATGTTTCTTTAGCTCCTAGTCTCTAGTGTGTGTTGTCGCTCGAATTTGTTTGAAATAAGATTTGGAGTAAGCGTAGCAAAGCTTACAAGCTTACTGATGTACCAATTTAACTGTCCACGTTGCAGTATAGCTTGTGTTTTTTAGTATCGCTTGTTACTGCTTGTGTATATACACGACAAATTCTAGTTTGTATTTTATTGTACTAAACTAAGTTACATGAAAGTTAAATTTGGATCCATATTGTGTTATCAGATGTCTAAATAATGTACTTGTAAAGCAATGATTTAATAAATTTTAAACTACAAAACAAATAATACGACTACATCCAAGAACAGATAAAATACCAACAATAAAGCAAGCTTGAATAAGGAAAAAATAAATCAAACGCCTCAGTTCACCTGTGAGGGAAGCAAACTACCGATAAACATGACTGAAATCTCGAAATGAGAAACGCGCTTATAATAAAATATTATTACATTTGAGTTTTTCGCTGCCGGCTCTCAGTCTAGTTTATCAGTGGTTGCAGCGAACAGCAACATTTAACATCGATCCATACCTCCATATGACCGACTGTTCTGCTGACCTAGCCTTTGTGATAAGCAAAGTTTTCTCTCCGTTTCTGCATAATAAGAAAAGACATTATTAGGAATCAGAAAATCAGAAAAGAAAACATTTTCATTTCAACGTGAGTCAAGTCACATACTTAAATAGCCATTAATAAATGCACGAGATGTTTTGCGTTCCTGTCGTGTTATGAATGGACCGGGCGGTTCAACTGTCAGCATCACTCTTTGGCGAAAGAGCTGTGCTCCTGCTCCGGCCATTCATCTACTAAAGATGACAAACGACCCGGACAATTACACTATACGTAACATTTATTTGATTAGAAATCAGACGCAGATGGGTCAAAGAACGTCAAATAAAAGTTGGACGTTATCTCTGATAGACGTTTTGAAAACTGTGTGACATTCTCTTTTATATAATGCAATAAAAGAACACTACTGAAGAGCTCTGTCGCAAAATCGTTTTATCCATGACGCAATAATCTTGAGTTACAAGTATCTAAAAGTCCTATTTTTTCTAAATCTAGACTAGAGGGCTGCTGCTTCGCTTGTTGCTTTGCGACGGTCAAAACAAATTGAACAATAAATTGAATTTACTGAAAAAAAAAAACAATGCTCTAAACGCAAACTATTTTAAATATAAATAACAAAGTTAAACTAAATCTTTGAATGCACTTTTATTTTATAAAGGTTCAAACCAATACTGTCCAGAAGTTGTTGAAACTTCAAGTTTAACTTACGAAGTTGTCTACAACATCTCAATTCATAAAAACTTAAACCCATTACAGCCAAGATGTTTGAATTGCATATTTTTGTCTAACTTTCGTCCCATAGACAGTACTTTAAAAGTTTATAAATTGTCAAAATTTAGAGATATTTTGTCTGACTTTTCAATTGCTTTTTAAAACTAATTTTTTTTTTTGTTCTACAGATTATTTTATAGGCTCTTATACTGTCTAAATAAAACAATAATTATTAAGAATTATTACTAGAGATATTTTTTTAGCAAACTAAAAGTTGTAGGTAAACATGAACAAAAGTGGGTCGTCAAAGTTGAACTTTTAAACTGATTAGCTGGTTTCAAAGATGTTATCCTAATTAAGAAAGTTTTGAAACTACCTCTACCAAAATGTTTATTAAATGGGGTGCTTTGCTGACATGATATCAATATAAATGTCTTTATGCTCATTTCTTAAAAAATATTGCTGTTTTCATGTATAGTATTTTCTCCAAAATAATGCAAAAAACAAAAAGAATTAGTGTCACTTTTAATTTCGTATTATGAAAACATGTCTATAAATCTAGTGTGTCCCCGGATATGTGAAACGACTTATGTATGTGACAAATATGACAAAAATATATTAGGAAAAATTGTTTAGAATCAACTTTTAGGTCCGTATATCAAATTTGAAAATCATCGGCCAACTATGATTTTTCTTTTCTTTAAGGTAATTGCTTTTTATTAACAGAAACGGCAAAAATTTATTTAGTACTAATAATCTAAATGTATTTTTTTTATTATTACTATATCTTTTATTATTTTTTTATTATTTTGTTGAAATAATAAAACTGTTAAAAATAAAAAAATATAATGGGCCGATGATTTTGAATACAGGTATACAGGCTTAGATGTTGATTCAAAATAACTTTTCTTAATAATTTTTTGTCGTATTTGCAACACAAAAGGCACTTTATACTTTACAAAAAATAGGTAAATAAGCATAGTTGATTCTTCAAAACTAAAAATATGTTAGAAATGTGTCTTTAACCAAGCAGGGCTAACCCCAATAGATAAAATATTAATTAGAAATTTTTTTATCTTTTACAAAAGTCGTTTCACCTATCCGGAGATACACTTTTTTATGTTTTGTTGTAATTATTCATATTTTTCTCGTAGATTCTATAGTTATTCCATTTGGCCCTGGCCAAACAATACATGATTTATTACAGTATAAAATTAGAAGAAAAACTAATTATCAGTAAATTAGTAGCTCGCAAATCTTCTGTAACACTAGTATTAATAGGGTGGTTATAACACCATAGTAGTTAGTTTTAACTAGTATTTAATTTGAATTTTCTGCGCTAAAAAATTTAACGAGTCAGTGCATTGAACTGCTGGAGTTTGTCATTTATCAAATTCCTTAACTTGTACCAATTGTCTTAGCTTTTAACTAATTTTTTCCTATGTATTTTAATGTCAGTTTCAAATTACAACGTCGGTAGCTAAGATGCTACCGAATTAAATTTAATACGAACTTTTCATTAGTGCGAAAAAAGGTAAATCCCCTCCTACATGATTTTCATTTAATTTTTTCTTAGAGCAACGCTGACGAATAAGATGAAGCTGGGATAGAATGAAACGCTTCCACTGCCAGTAATGAGCGTCAAACGCAAACAAAGCTGTATCGGAGTAATCTAAAACAGTTTAATCGCGGACTATCTGTTTACCTAGTGATGGTCCCGCTGACGGCATCAAAGCTAAAATCGAAGACGCACTTTGTGGGTTGTACCGGACATACGATTTCGAGACAGATATTATCATGCCTTGCGGAAACCCTATTAGCTAGCGCTCTATAAAAAACCAATAAAAGAGCCTTCCTGCCAAGCCAATTGTCATCGTAAAATACATCTCGTCGAGGGTGATTTGCTTAAGATATAACCCATATTACGATAACGATATCGTTACTAACGGACTAGATTGCACATTCTTCATCTTAATTATGGAACTCCATACACCTATATCTCACACTTGACAAATTAAATTACCTTCCACCTACAAGAAATACGTGGGATGGAGCGAACTAAACCGCAAATTAACTATTTTTTTACCAACGGATACCAGATTTAGTTCAGCGTTTATTACCCAGCTTTCCATTTCCTGCAACAGTTGAACCAAATTTACACACAGGATTTGAGGCACAGATAAAAAAGAATTTTCTAAAGCTCTTTAACAAAGACAAACACCATGCTTCAGTCTAATCACGGTTACTAATATTCATTGCAAACAGGTTTTTGGTTTATGAAAAAATGTAATTTTCGATTCGTAGTCATGAATAATAATAATAATAAAGATACTAAATCCAAGTATTTTTGCAACTTTCTTTCAATGAGATATTCTGTTTACAAAGCAGATCGGCTAGATTGGTTGTATTGGAAAAATATTTGTCCAATAGGACGGTCTCAAATATTGAAAATAGGAAAAATATTCGTTACTATGCGAGGGCTGGTGACCTCATCTTATTTTCAAAGAATCGACCTATTTGTTTATCTGTGGGATTATGTAACTTTATTTTGCGCGAATTAAAAAAGATGTTTAATTTTGATATTTACTTATAAACTATTATAACGGAACAATTTAAGCAATAATCCCGGCGCATCCACCATTTTTAATACCAGTTAAAATTCTTAAAAACCAAATAATATGTAAAATATTTTGAAATTTGCTGTGTAACATGTTGGAAGTGTGATTATTATCAGAGCAAAATTTGAACTAATAAACTTAAATTCTGTTTCCTATTTTCCTTTAGCATCCGTAGCACTGAACGTGAGAGCAATGTTAGCTAATTCAACATCCGTGTAATTAGAGATTTTCACTTAATAAAACATGAAACTGAAATTTACTTACGCTTAACGCGAAAATTCACTGACCACTACTAGACTATGTACAAACAAAATTAGATCAAAAATATATTCACTTGTGGTGACTATAATTAAAAAAAGATGACTAGGTATTTAAAAAAAAATTCACAATCTAATGCAGTAACGGTTTGTTATGTAAAATAATAAAAAATCACTACTTTTGCCCTCGATTCCAATCTAAAAACCTCTTCGTGAACTTTCCGGTAATCTCTAAGCTGATTTCATCAGATGTTTTGTTAATTATTTTTAGGAAACTCGTACTTAAAAGTGTTTTTTTTTTGGTTCAAAATGTTAACTTGTCTTGGGTTATATAAGTGCTATGTACTTTGCTTATGCGGTAAAAGTTAAAATGAGAATTAAAATTTGGGTAGCTGAAGGTTGGTCGTTGACATCCTAAAACTCTACACTTTATCCGGCAAATATGCAAATCTCTGTAATCAGGCCCTGCAAACGCGTGCTATATCCACATGAAACACGCCTCTAATTCGATAATGTGAAAACAAATTCGCAAGTCTTTAAAATTCGATAAATTCGGCACTCATTTGTGATTAATATGAAGCTCCTAGTAGATTTCAATGTATTAATTCAGAAAAATTCAGGCCCGTTTGTTCGTAGAGGCGCCCTCGAGGCCGATTATGTTGAAGCTCGTGCTTCCGAGTCCACAGATGATTGATGCGCTTGCTACTGATGACGTCAGGTCTGATCGATGTTTCTTAGGATCAAGGACTTCTTCGTTATAACGCCACCCTTCAATTTTTACTTTAAAACTACTTAGAAATGCTGAAAATGCCACGGTGGAACATAAAAACTGACGCCGAAAAAAATGTTTTCTTCAATTGTGAATGAAATAGGAATTGTCTTTATGGGAGGAATTACACCCCCGGTTTTAATAAACACAGATTTGCAGTAAAGTAAACAAGTTTGTAGAATAATTTTGCTGAAAAACAGAGGTACTTGGAACTCTCCCGGAACTTTTATCTCTGAAAATTAGCGGCTTTATGAGATGAAAAATACGGTTCGTGTTGTTGTTTATTTTAGTACACGTTTAGCTTTGATCATATCCCATTTTTAGTTTGCGTGTCAAACATAACAAATTGAATCGCCAAGTATTATGGCAGAAAATTGATTCTTATTAAATGCTTCTTAAACTTATAGATCGCTTAAAACATAGATACACCTGTATAGTTTGCAAAACCGGATGTTTAAAATATGTGCAACATTTTAATATCGTTGCTTCTTATAGAAGCCACATATGATCTTAATAATTTCAAGAAACAATTTAAAGCTCATTTGGCCGTTATTTCAATGCAGTTAGAGCAGGAATACTCCTAATATCTAGTAATAAATGTTAAATTGGGATATAAAACGCAGAAGCGAACATAAATAAGTGTTATGTTCTCATGAACGTCCAGCCTCT